TTGGAGGGCCTTGCTGTAAGTGTGAGAATGGTGTAATTAGCAGGAGGGACAGGAGTGAGGGGTATTTGTGGCGGTGTACTAACAAGAGGTGTCATCATAAGACTTCAGTGAAGCGTTCTTCCTGGTTTTATAATTCTAATTTGTCGATCACTCTTTGGTTGATTGGTAGAATTTTGGAGGGAGGTTTATTTGGAAATTTTGGAAGAAGAGAATGAGGCTATAAAGGGTTGGTTGGTTGGTTTGTTGTTTAACGCCGCACTCAGCAATATTCCAGCTATATGACGGCGGTCTGTAAATAATCGAGTCTGGACCAGACAATCCAGTGATTAATCATCATGTGCATCGGTCCACGCAATTGGGATCGATGACATGCATCAACCAAGTCAGCGAGCCTGACCACCCGATCCCGTTAGTCGCCTTTTACGGGCAAGCATAGTCACCTTTTACGGCAAGCATGGGTTGCTGAAGACCTATTCTAACCCGGAATCTTCACGGGTGGCTATAAAGGGACCTGGGGTAGAAGTGGAAATTGATGAATCAAAATTTGGGAAAAGAAAGTTTCACACAGGAAGGAGAGTGGATGGTGTTTTTTGTTGTTGTAAATAATCGAGCCTGGACCAGACAATCCATTGATTTACATCATGAACATCGATCCACGCAATTGGGATCGATGACATGCATCAAACCAAGTCATCGAGCCTGACCACCCGATCCCGTTAGTCGCCTTTTACGACAAGCATAGTCGCCTTTAACGGCAAGCATGGGTTGCTGTAGACCTATTCTAGCCCGGATCTTCACGGGTCCTGTTGGAAGGCTTATGACTGTTTAGAATCTTTGGAGGGGATGGGGTACATTGATCTACATAAGAAAGTTAACCACAGTGTACAATTTGTAAATTCCAAAACAGGGGCATGTACGAATAAAATAGAGTCAACTTGGAGAGTGGTGAAGGCATCTTTGCCTAGGTACATAACGAATAAAGGACTGATAGTTATTTTGTTGAGTACATTATCAGATTTTTTTTATTTAAGTTGTTCAGCTGATCCTTTTATTCAATTTCTTAAGTTCATCAGCCGTGTGTATTGTCCAGTGCGGGCACCTGATTCGGCAGATAAAGAAAATTTTAATGCAGAAAATGAATTGGATGGTTCTGCAGATCTTTTTCAGGAATCAGGTGATTTCGACGCCTCAGCGGATCTCTTTGATTAAGTGAGTAATGAAACATTCTATGAATAGGCCTATTCATATGGAAAAGGCGACTATGCTTGTCGTAAAAGGCGACTTACGGGAGCATGCTTGTCGTAAAAGGCGACTTACGGGAGCAGGTGGTCAGGCTCGCTGACTTGATTGATGCCTGTCATCGATCCCAATCACTGGATTGTCAGGTCCAGACTCGATTATTTACAGACCGCCGTCAAAAATAGCTGGGATATTGCTAAGTGCGGCGTTAACGCCCTGGATGCCATTTGGACATATATGTCCTTAAACAAATCGCAGTTGCTGTGCCAGAGGGACATAAATGTCCTTCAGTAACATCATGTTAAAAAAATTTAAACAAAATACTTTTTGGGTTACCCCAAGCCCATAGCAATTGCAACATGTCAGAAAATAGTAAATTTCAACACATCTGTGGCATTCTCACAACTCTACTGTCGATAAATAACGCATATGGAGTAAGTCAAATTCCCCTCGTTTACACTTTTCGTTCAAAGGTGCCGCCGTTGGAATATTTTTTTCATTTGGATCAAATTGCACCGACTGATTGAAAATTCACTGTAAAAGTCGACTTACGGGATCGGGTGGTCAGGCTCGCTGACTTGGTTGATGCATGTCATCGATCCCATTTGCGATGGATGCGTAAAACAACAAACCAACCAACCACATGCGAAGGAATGTTTGATTTGGTTGGTTGGTTGGTTGGTTTGTTGTTTAACGCCGCACTCAGCTATATGACGGCGGTCTGTAAATAATTGAGTCTGGACCAGACAATCCAGTGATTAATATCATGAGCATCGATCCACGTAATTCTGATCGTTGACATGCATCAACCAAGTCAGCGAGCCTGACCACCCGATCCCGTTAGTCGACTTTTACAAGCATAGTCGCATTTTTCGGCAAGCATGGGTTGCTGGAATGTTTGATACCTTCATAAACTTTACTTAGCTAATGAAACCCACTAAATGCCCAGTTTATCCATGGTGAATGGAGTGTATATTTTTTCTTCACAGTAATTGTTCAAGGCCTCGTTCATCACATTGAGTTTTGGTTTGGTTTGGTTTGGTTTGGTTTGTTGTTTTACGCCGCACTCAGCACTATTGCAGCTATATGACGGCGGTCTGTAAATAATCGAGTGATCTACATCATTGAGATCGATGACATGCATCAACGATGTCAGCGAGCCTGACCACCCGATCCCGTTAGTCTCCTTTTACGGCAAGCATGGGTTTCTGAAGACCTATTCTACCCCGGAATCTTCACGGGTCTCATCACATTGAGTATCAAAGCGTATTCCAAAACATTCATACAGTAATACATACCTACTGACGTCTGTAAAAAACAGTCTGTGTGAAAATGTGCCACTTTTCATATCCATACGTATAAAGGGGGTTTCAGTTCCCATGATGCAGTGCGCGGTCGCCATGTTGGTTGTCAACCTAAACAAGCGCGAAACGTAAACACGCCGGAGAATTTTTTTCAACCTGCCGTTATGCCTGTTTCGTGTGCGGTTATAATTTGCAGCAATCGTGCAAACAGAGACAAGAAGAGTTTTTTCAGATTCCCTGCTGTAATCAATAACAGGGATGAGAAAACGAGGATCTCAGTCAGAAGCGGCGCCGTTTGTGGTTGGCAGCTGTCAACAGGGAAGATCTCGCATTCAAGGACACCCGATACATGCGTGTGTGCAGCGATCATTTTGTCGGCGGTAAGTTTGAAATGTGTATGACAGGTAGGTTTTTCGTAGTGCGAAATTATGTTCTGCCGTCCTTCGATTTCGAAACCGAGTATGCTTTCAAATTTGAAACGGATAGAAGGTAGATAGTACTAGATCTACCAGGCCTATCCCTGTCTTCATAAAACCATGTCTAGCGTTGCTGTAGCGAAAGTATTTTGTTGTGGTACGACATTAATAAAAAAAAATTAAATTGTCTTTGCAGTAGCATTTTTAAGGTGACAATATAACTATCCTCGGTGATCAGTGGTCATTATTTCAAACAGGCCACCAGGGCTAAATCTTGTCACTGATAACTGTAAACAATGTGGAGCATGTCTGAACTGCATATGCCTCCATACAATTAATTGTGTTGTTGTGATGGTAAATACGTCATGGTTAATGTTAATAAATAAATAATCTTCTCCAGGTTCTCCATCAGCCCTGTATCAGGACACCCATCCAGGTTGGATACCTAGTGTGAAACTTGGCTATGACAAGGGCGACAAAGGCGACATGGGTTCTCGTTTCTTCCGTCTACAGGTAAACTTAACTAAGAATGTTAATTAGGCTGATTGCGGTTTGTCTAGTGGTAGAAATATGGCACACACACACATGGGAAGAAAACTAAGGGTTGCAAGGTTAATTTATTGTTGCTATAAAGCATAGGTATGAAACGTACCCCCTCTATCTTTATTTGGTTACATTAGGTTTATTGCCAGGACTTCTTGAGTTTCATGTTTAATTTTGAACACTTTTTAGGATAAAAATATGAAAACATCAATGTCATGCTATAAGTGTACATGTTATCTCAGTGTAATTAAAATACATGTATTTTACAAAAAATTACTGCTCTTTGTTATTTAGGGAGGTGACACGACTCCGTGACTTGCAATTTGATGAAGAAGAGCAACAAAGTGAGGCAGAACCGGATGCTGAACATGCTGAATCAGTGGATCAGGACATTACACCTGAAGAGGAACTGAAAAGTTGCAAGATTAAAACTGACATTCTTAAATCAGAAAATGAATCTTTAAAACACGAGAATCTTCTACTCAAGAAGTGCATAACATCAAAGCAAATAATACTGAAGATTTTGATGGTGATGATGATAAAGTACGATATTATACTGGTCTACCATCCTTTGTATCACTAATTGCATTGTTCAATCTAGTATCATATGGAATAAGTCAACCTTCACATTCATCACTGACAAAATTTCAAAAGCTTATTATTAAACTAATGAGACTCCCACTCTTGACCAAAAATACTGATGCTGTTCCACTTCTTGATAAGATTGCCAATGTTTGCTGTGCACTTACCAACATGTGTCCATCAGTTGTTCCATTCCAGTGAAAGTTTATTACTTAGACTTGTAAAAGATTAAATGCAAAAACAAAATGTCAAGTGTGTTTAATGATTTCATAATTATTATGATTCAGGAATAAAACCACCTAGACATGTTTAGTGTTACCTAAAATCCATTGTATTGCATAGGCAATACATCTGATTCAGATTAGCCCATGTTCATTCTGTGCCAAGCACAACTGTGGTTCACTTGAAAAAATGTTTCAACAATATGAATTGATAATTTCATCATGGATGTATTATCATTCAAACAGGTCATGCAGTTACATCAGATAAAACTAATTGTTAATGAAATAACCTCACATTGAAATGTGATTACTGATATTCCTTTTAACTTGGTGATTTTGCTGCAAAATTATCTTGAACAAGTGTTAGCATGTCTTTGACCTACTTGGCAGATCAACAGCAAATATTTCATACATATGACTTTGAATTACTGATCCAATGTACAATCTGTCAAATGTAGGAATAAATCTAATTCTGAACATGAGAAATGGTCAGTATTCTTTTAGTTTTAATTTGTACATTTTGTATGCGCAACATTATATTTTTGAGAACAAGTTTCATTAAGACATCTCAGTTACAGAACAGTGAGGACTGAGTCACACTGAAAAGTTTAAAGGATCAGGTAAAGTTACTGAAATTACACATCACTCTTCACTATTGTGTTTGCGCTTCATTCCTTTGTTATTTGAACAACAATCTTTACAAAACCATTTTCCTATTGGTTTTCGTACAAGAACAACACAATTGAAGTGAAACCATCTCACTGTACATTCTATCCCATCGCAGCCAACATACTTGCTTCCATCTTCTGGTGTCCTGCATGTACAAAACAGTTCTTCACCAACACTTTCTGGAGCAACCCTTTCACATGTGGTGATCAAGAAGTGTCGTGCAACAATCTCTGGTAGAATAACAGATGTGAAGAACTGCATCGCCTGATCAGCTACTGGTTGCCAGAAGGCCACACAAGGTGTAATTCTCTCCATAAAAATATCATCATTTGTCCAAACAACAAAGTCACAATAATCATGTTTTGTTACAAATAGTTGTGTTTGCACCTGGTAATAGTACTGACTGTCCCTTTTCAGTTGCAGTGACCCATTAACTTCCTCTAAGTATACTATATTGTTATCAATTCAGTCATCCTTTACACAGTAAGGACATTTAATCTCAAGGCAGCCCCTTCCACAACAGCTACAGTCAACAATACCATCAGGAGTTGCACCAAGATGTGGATACTCACAGCTAAGGAATAAACCACATTCCTCAACACTGAAGTTATGGTGATGCTCACAAGATAATTTCTCATAGGCATCCCTTGCTGTTACCTCATGGCTGCATCCCCATCTTGTAGCTGGATGAGAAAACTTGACCTCATTAGGGTAACAGATATGGCGAAGTAAACTCCTAGAAGGGTCCAACAATGATGTACGACTTGCGCTTTTCATCTTTGATGCCGTTATACGTCCAGCCCTGAACTGAAACCAAAGTGGGGAACCTGCTTGGTTCCTTGTTGCTGCTTCAACTGTTGTAACCTCCTCTTCTGTGATTGCTCAGCTGATCTAAAACATTCTGACAGTGTTCTAAAACTTCATCATATGGGATGCCAACCAGACTTTCATCAAACAGCTCAGAAATCACTTGTGGAAATTGTGGTTGTAGTGGTACAGGTACAGGTACAGGTACATATTGATCACTATAATCACTATGAACTGCTAGACAAGATGGTCTCTCTGTATTAATAGTATGAAGAAAGGTGTCAAAATTCTGTGAAGATGCAGATTCTAACTTATGGGTAAGTTTAGCACTGGATGAACTTGAACATGTAGCAGATGAATCATCAATTAATAAGTCAAGTTTCTTCTTCAATGTCTTTGAAGAGGTAAAATCAATGTCTCTTAAAGATGCATATTCAACCTTTTTCATCGAAGCTGGAAGTTTCCAGTAGGCTGGTTCCTGTGTTACCGTGGTACTTTCCCTTAGTCTAACAATAGCTTTAACAGCAAACATCACACTTGCTACATGTGTGCACGATTCTCCCAAACCTGCAATACAATTGCAGTGGGCTGACAAAACTTTGCCCGTGTCATCAGTGATGAACCAGGGGTGCAATGGAGCTTCATTCAAGCGCTGGGAATGCATTACCTGTAAACATACAATGGAGGAGTTAATTTTATTTCAGATATAAAATTTACATTCTATATTACATTCAAAAAGTGAATGAAAATGATAGTATTCTCAATTCTAATATCTCCAGCTGTTATTTAATTTGTCTCACCGCTCTATAATATCCACGTAACCCACCCGGATGCTATCACTACGTAAACACACATTTATGTATTGGCCGGGCTCTTGTACAGTAGCAGTTGTACAGGATGTAGGTAAGCTGTTGTTTACTTACTTTTGACTTCACAACGTGAATGGCCTTTCCATCTTCGACGGACAAATGCACATACGAGACAATGTCTCGTACCCAACCACATACAAATCTATCATATGCTTCCAAGCTCCTGTAGTTTCTGATGTCTGATAAACTACAAAAAGGACTGGGACTGAATACCAGATAGTTGACGATGTCGATGTAGTTAGTTGCCGGCAAATGCTTGTGGTCGTCACTCCATTTCGATTTCGGAATCCTGTACGGATCTTCTTTGTCGATCACACCAGTCTTCTCGTGATATCTTATACGAGATACTTTGTCCAATAAATTAGCGTAATTATCCATTACAGACGATTGCGAGATGACAAATAGGAGCAGATAGACGCCGACGATTGCAGAGCGAGTGTGCTGCTAATGACGCTATACTGTTGCTAGGGACGCGAATACAACCAACATGGCGGCGCGCACGGCATGACGGGATAACTCTGAAAACCCTCTATACTTAGAAATTCCATTAATGCTTCCTAATCCTCACTTTCTGCAAAAAAAGCGTATTTCCCAGAAGAAACGAAAACACACATGATAAATTTGACACACCCTTTTGGGTCTGTGTTGTTCATGTTTTTGTGACTGATTATATGTAACTCACGTTTTCGTATGTTTAGAGAGGCGTGCCAATTTATTAAAAGACGTTGAAAAGTAGGTTGGTAACAGATTTAAGCAGTGCCGAATATTTTTATTATTAATTGGTTATAAAAATATACTCTTCAAAAAATGAAACTTGACATAGATGTAAAACCACTTTTTGCCAAATATCTAAAATAATTACATTAAATGAGAACAAAATAAGTCAAACAGAAAGATGATGTGTCTATAATTCGCGAAAACACATGCAAAGCACATAAACGTAGCGTTTGGGGATCAATTTTACAGCTTCATCCAAACGCAACCGCCTGTAAAAAAACGTGCAGCACAGGATTCTGCATTTAGGCATGTGTTGTATATAGTACTTTTCACCCAATGTAAGTTCATTCAGTTAAATTTTGCATCCCCTGTGTAATATATTCCGTGTTTGCAAGGGTGTAAGTAAATACATGTCGAGTGTCTCGCCACCACGGTCTAAGGGAATAATAATATTGATAATAATGATAATTACTTGCTTAACGATAACGCTGCGCCCAGTCAGTGTTCACGGACAACATGGTAGCGAAGGACAGTCAAGGTCATTTGTCGTTTTAGTACTCACACAGATATATATGATGTGTGTATCGCTGTCAAACATGTACACACACTCCCCAGGCAATGTTTTCAAGCAAAAGTTAGGATAAAAAGCACTATTTGTCCACACCTCGCTGATCGTTCATATTTGAGGTCACGTGACCTCCCACATTTTCATGTACATCGTTTGGCATACTTTCGTTGTATATTTTGTAGGAACACACTTCAAGCATATAGCATAATCATTGTAAATATAACTTTTCTGCATTAAAACATCATAATTGAGCTAAACCAATATAAGTTACAGCACATCCAATTTAATAGCATAGCATGTCTCAGTTAAAGGGAGATAATTCTTGTTGTCTTGTTTACACACTGATTTTACGACACTTCACAATGTAATGCAGTTTGACTCAATACTCATTTATAAGATAATCTGTAATTTCTTAGTTTTCATTTGTAATAACAAACTATTGGAAATATAATTCATTAAGGTTTATTTTCACACAGAACATATGCCAAATATATAATTAGTTCACTTTTATAGAGTATTTGATGATTTATGCAATGTTGTAATACAGTATGGAAATTTAGCATCTTACTGGTGTTATGTTACCATTAGTGCATGGATTTATCTTTTATGGTTTCTTGAAAGTTGATATTAATGTTATCAACTAGGTCCATTGCAAGATGTGTTGATGGGTCTTGTCATCTAATGTTGACATTGAAAATATAAGTAACCTAGAATTAGTTGGGTATTATAATACTTTATTGTATGCCCAGTATAGTTAATGAGTGTTGATATTTTATCCGTTGCGCCACACCAAGTTGAAAACTTGAAGCTTAAACATGTATAAACATGATGTTTCTTTGTCAGCCATGTTTTATGAAACAAAAAACAAATGTGACCCAAATTCTTTGTTGTTTTCAGTCAATCTGAGTGATTGTGACCTGGGTAACACATGCAGGCCCCCCTGCTGAATGGGTATAAAAATCCACATCAACGGCTGTTCATACAGTCCTTATAACGGCAGTAGAGGCGGTGACAGAATGCCAAGACAGAATGCAGCTCAACGGAACAACGCCATTGGGAGATTACAAGCTGGAGCAACTCAGCGAGAAGTGGCCAGGCACTTTGGCGTATCCAGACAGACAATCTCCGCACTGTGGACCCGATACAACAACACCAACAGAGTTGACGACAGACAAAGGTCAGGAAGACCAACGGTGACAACCCAAGCACAAGATCGATACATCCGGCTGCGACACCTCCGAGACCGCACTACCACAGCCACGTCTACAACCACACAGATCCCTGGGGTACGCAGAATATCAGATCAAACGGTACGCAACAGGCTGAGGGAGGCTGGACTTTTTGCACGAAGACCTGTTCGACGTCATGTATTGACCCCACGTCATCTGGCGGACTGTCTGCTTTGGTGCCAACAGAGGGTTAGATGGGTACGTGCAAGGTGGAGAAATGTACTGTTTACTGACGAGTCCCGTTTCCTACTCACACGTGCTGATGGGCGCGCACGTGTTTACAGACGTCGGGGTGAACGTTACGCCCCCAACTGTGTGCAGCAGGTTATCCCATTTGGCGGCGGGAGTGTCATGGTATGGGCCGGAATTCATCACGGTGGTAGGACGCCTCTCGTGCATGTGGCAGGTGCACTGACAGGTGTGCGTTACAGAGACTTGATCCTACAGCCCCACGTTCTTCCTCACGTCAACGATCATGGCGGACAACGCTCGACCGCATATTGCACGTGTTTGTCAGGACTTCTTACAGCACAACAACATCCAGACATTACCTTGGCCAGCCCGGTCACCAGATTTGTCCCCGATTGAGCATCTGTGGGACGAGTTGGATCTACGCGTTCGCAGAAGGAATCCACCGCCCCGAACACTTCCGGCGCTTCTTGGTGCACTTCAGCATGAATGTCAGCACACCCAACAGCATGTTATTGACAACTTGATTGCATCTATGGGTCGTCGGTGTCAAGCGGTGATTGATGCACGTGGTGGGCACAACCGATACTGACATTTTCTGTACCCCTGTGACATTAACTGTATCGTGTACGTGTGTCTGTCTAGGTGACACGAGTAATGTTTTGAACATTGTGTACATTAATCTTCAAATAGTGTTTCAATTATGGTTTCTGTGTCCTATTTTGAAACAATCGCATTATATTACATTTTGAATGTCAGTGTCAAGTTTCTTTTTTTGAAGAGTATATATAAACAAGAACTATATGACGTTGAATTATGAACGTGTAAATGTCAGTTCAAATTACTTAAATGCCGGTTCCCGATTAAGCTATTTATTACCTTGGACTGAACGAGTTCGTATGTCTTAATATAAATAGCTAGGTCTTTGACAGTAGAATTCATTACTAAATTATAAAATTAATAATATATTGTTTAATCTCACTATGCAAATTTGGCATTTATGCTGTTTTTTATTGTTGAATACTTTATTATAATTGCAAGACTTAGTTTTTTATTTTCACGAATACAAATGAAGCTGTTATGGTTATCGACAGTTTGGTTTCAATCACCCACCATATCGGAGTTGGCAAGAGCGGCAAATTTCCGATTGTTCGTCTGGAACGAAATACCGTGACCCGCGTTTTGTGACATGCCACGTCACAGAGGTTACAGGTGCCCAAAACAAAATAAAATTCGAAGTTGTAATCACCAACAGTGTTAAATATGACAATGTAAATAATTATACATTATATGCTTCAATCTTTATCTTTGTGCTTTGTTTATCGAATTAGCGCGATGAACACAAATGAAACATAAAAAAACCCTTCGCCTCCCGCCGAGAGCATGAATATTCATAGCGATAAAAATAGCCCCCATGTAACAGACGACATTATTGCGATTGAGGCTGTCAAGAAGACAAGGCGGAATGTCTGCAGGGGGTCTGGGAGACGACGATGATTTGGTGAGTCGGACATATCAGTCGATTATTATCCCCCGCCACGAAGTGGAAGGGGGATATAGGAATGGGTGCCGTCCGTCACATTTCGTTTCCGGAGCAGATCTTGAAAACCGTACCATATTTCTTCACCAAACTTGGCACATAGATAGATCTAGTGGTGAACTGATGCCTTTTGATAGTTTGGGATTTAAAAAAAATTCTTTTTCGTGTATCCATGGCAACGACTTTGATTTAGACTGAAAATGGCGGTATCCTCGTTTCCGCAGCAGATCTCGAAAACTGTACTATATTTCTTCACCAAACTTGGCAGATAGATATAGAGTTGAACTGATGCCTTTTGATAGTTTGGGATTTTAAAAAAAAAATCATTTTTTTAAAGTTTACTAGCAGCGACTTTGATTTAGACAGAAAATGGCGGTAGTCCTCGTTTCCGGAGCAGATCTTGAAAACCGTACCATATTCCTTCACCAAACTTGGCAATATTTTATTTACAGATTGGAAGATGGGCTTAACTCACGGGGCCGGTCTGTCACTCTCCCCTCAGTCGTTAGACTTTACAACACTCTAATGGGGGGAGTTGACCATGGGGATCAACTCATTGGTGTGTATGATCCCCAAGTCCGCTCCGTAAAGCTGTGGAAGAAAGTTTTAATCAACTTTCTTCTCACAGCATCAGGTAAGAATTATTTTATTTATTTGAAAATCAGAATAAAATAATTTGGTAACAAGGAATTTAGGAATAACTTATAATTCTAGACCTATGTCATTAATATTACTACCAACTATTCGGTCATAATCATAATAATATCAACCAATGGCATTAACTGAAGAATACAATGGCGGAATTATATCGCATCTGGTACCACTTCCACTGTATATTCATTGTACTGCTTAATCAACATAAACCTTATCTCCTGAACAGCTGTTTGATTTTAATGTTTTATACTCATTTCAGTTAATGCCTATCAGACATTCCTGACGCTCATGGTAGACCGACCTCCCGTCTGGACTTCCACATGTCCCTTCTCCACTCTTTCGTCGGGAACACTGAGGTGAAGAGGGGGACTGGCAGGCCCAGGACCAAGCATCCTTCCCGACGACTGACCGGACGTCACTTCATAGTTTTATACACATTTCAGTTCATGCCTATCAGACATTCCTGAACACTCATGGTAGACCGACCTCCCGTCTGGACTTCCACATGTCCCTTCTCCCCTCACTCGTCGGGAACACTGAGGTGAAGAGGAGGACTGGCAGGCCCAGGTCCCAGCCTCCTTCCCTACGACTGACCGGACGTCACTTCATAGTTT